CTGGAGGTCGGAGTCTTGTTGTTGGGACTGGACGGAGTCTGGCTGCTGGATCTGTGCTCTGTGGTCCTGCTTCCATCCATCGTGGTCTGGGTGATGTTCTCAGTGTGAACTGTGGGACTCTGCCCTTTAGGCTGCTTTATATCCTGAGAGCTGCATGCTGATTGGATGAGACAGAACAGGACCTACAGGTCCAGGTCTCCATTGTTCAAGTGAAACCCCCCACCCCCCCACCCCCACCTCACCACATCGCCCTGAAGCCATTCAGGAACAAACCAGAGTGTAATCAAAGCTGTTGATTAGTTTTTGTTGAACACAAAGACTTTGATCATTTTTAGTGATTATTCATTATTACTGAATCATCTCTGACAGTGATGAACTCCTTTTTATTATATGTTTATGTTAATGATACAGAAAACAATTTAACAGATTTGGTCTTTTTAGCAGATGAAACTAATTTTATTAAACATATAAAAGGAACATTTTGAAAGTTTGATTTGACACAGTCAGAAACATTGCACCTCCTGCTCTAACTGGTCACTCAAATGAAGAGTGTGAAAACTTTCTTTCTTTATTAATAAGTCTAATATTTTCAGAGCAAACATCCGTCCTCCTCCTTTCTCTGTGACTCCACGCCTTAACAGGCCACCACTCTAAAAGAGCTTTGGACCAAGCTCTCTGAATGCTGTCATCAATTTGGTTGACAAAATGAAACCATCCTCTCGCCCACCACACTCTTCAAAAGGGTCTTTAACACCATCTGACCGTTTGTTCTTAAGGTAATTAATAATTCTTTGACCTCCGTCTGTGTCCCTACATATTTTAAACAGGCTGCCCCCCACCCCCACCTGCTTGAGAATTTTAGGCCAATTTTAAAACTGCCTTTTATTTCAAAAGTGTTCTATATATGCTCCCACTTGGGCATATCCTGAATAGCTTTGAGTACATCTCATACCATTGTTATGCAGACGGTATTCAGCTGTATATGTTCTTCAAACCCCAGAATGTAGCCACATGATCTATCCTGTATTCATTTCATAAAGAACTGTGTGGCAGCAAATTATCTGTCTTTGAATACAAAAACCTGAAGTTCTGATCTGTGCACCCTGTTCTGTTTAAAAACCATCTGTCTGATGTAATGAACATGAAACAGGAAGTGTTCCTCTAAAATCTGCTGTAGATTCATCAGGTTGGACTGTAGCAGCATAGCTCGAGTTCACTCACATCTATCCAAAGCAGTTTCTATCATGTCACATGACCTAGCTTGAACTTTTATGCAGGTTCATGTTGTTCTGTTACTCTCCCCCAAAGAGTCTTGTATCTTCAAATTCACAACAGTATAACAGACCTCAGGGGACACGAGTACCAAGCTGACCTCTTCAAGAAACCGGAACAAGTATAATAAAGGATATGAAATGTCATGGAGACAGCTGTACAACACATGTTTGACAAGAACAGGCTGGCGTCATCATATTTTAGTAAAAATTGTAATAAATGTTTTAGCCTTGCCTTTTAGGGGAGTTTTTTTTAGAATAGAATAGAATAGAATTAAACTTTATTGTCATCGCACATGTCAAAAGTACAGGGCAACGAAATGCAGTTTGCATCCATCCAGAAGTGCTTTAGCCATGATATAGATATAGTACAAATACATATTAGCAATAATATAGATATGTAAGTATATCACAGAAATGGGTCTATTATGGTATGTTATAATGTACACGGTATGAAGGTATGTTATGAATATGCTATAACTATAAGTATGTACAGGCTATGAACAGGATATAAATATGAAAAACTATACTGAAATGTGAACTATGCAGGTTATAAACAGTTGTAGAATTAAAATAAACACATTTTAAAATGTGTTTTTGTTTAATCAGTTTTGTTTCCACAGAAGTAAAGAACACGATCTGTTATCTTAAGACAAAGTGTCACTTTTCGCTTTCTGGAAACTCAACCACATCACAGTATGCAGAGACTCCACCAGGGGGCGATGTTTGTCTCTCTAGGATTCGTTATCACGGTTTATTTATAGAACAAAATGTACATTTTAAATACATGTAAGCTTCCTTCTTACGGCACATTTAGAATTCATACCTTAAACATTAGCTGGAGATGTTTTAATCTGGTCACTTTGAAACCTTTATCATCTATTAATTACATACAGCTCTAAAAGCTTTAATTCTCACGTGAAATGTATAATTGTGTTTAATGTGTTTAATAGTGCTCTTATAGACAAACCATATTAGTTCTGACTCCATTATCTGATTTAATCATCAAGCTTCTGCAAATAATCTGAGATATATATGTTTAACAGAAACAGAAACACTTTCA